GGAAAATGTTTTGTTCCTCTCTTACACATAGCAATTTACAATTAACTGTTCTTGTCCTTTAATTGTCATGTGTTGACAACTGTCTTATGATGTATAAAGGATGCTTCAGACGTGTCATTTTTAATCATTATTTTTGGTGTAATGACGTTACACACTCTCCACTACGCGACGGTATGAACGTAATACGATCATACGCTTTATATTTTTAGCTTGTCACGTGTTGACAACGAGATTCAGAGTTAGGCAATCATTGTTAAAAAGGATTAAAATAGAAAGCTTTACGAAAACGTATTTTTTTACATTATCGTTTACTTACACGAATACGTTTATTTTGAAAACTTTAATTTTGTTATTGCGCGTAAGGTTTTTTTTATTTATCAATATTTATGCAATACTATTCAAAATCAAGACATACTTTATTAAGAAAGATATGATTTACATTTTTTGATAAGTTATTTTATTCGCTTTATTTGAATTTACTTGGTTATAACCAATAACCCTTATATTCGTAACTAAAAGAATAAGAAAAACGGAGTGAGCAGAAGATATTGGTTTCAAGTCTGAATTGGTACCATAATTAAGCTGTTGATGTTGTTGTTTTGTTTATGTTTTGGGTTCATGAACTTCTTCTCCCTGCCCATTTCCCAATCACTTGGGGTCGGCGCAGTACATCTTCTGTACTGCTGATAGGATTTGGCAAAAGTTTCACGGCCGGCCGCCTGCGTGACGTCAACCCTCCTTGGTTTTGGGTTCATGAACGTGAGCGTAATATTATGTGCATTGCGTAATTAGCAGCATAATAATGTCATATGTATTGTAAAAAGTATATACTAATCAGTAAATATTAAAAATAGTAGATTGATATATTTTCTTAGTGACTTTACAGGTTCGTTTGCCTTTTGTGTGCTTCGTATAATTAATTATTTTGAGGCGTTTTTGTATATTTCTAAGTCTTTCAAGTGAATACGTCTAACCACTGTTACAGCCAAACAAAAATTCGAACTGCTATTTTAGCTCCAACTCCAATATACATGCAAGTGAAGCAAGTTATAACTATATATTCAAATAACTCCGTTTATGTACAACGCTTCTCATACCTAATGTCATTTCAAGGTTACACAAGACATTTTTCGGCGACAGTACGTCTAGGTTTTTGAGGATAAGATCACAAATCAAGGTCGTTAACCTCGCCCAGAAAAAAACTTTGTTGAAGGAAATTACTTACAGCTCGAAAAGGGATGTCAAATGATAATAATTGTGAAGTAAAGATTAGATCTTACTTGTAATATCTATTCGCTTTTTTATTATATTTTTATTTAGCTGTTTTCCCTATCTTTTATTAGAATTTAACATATAAAAATGTAAAACATACACTCGAAAAACCCTCCTTCTGGGGCAGTCGGGTAAAAATAAAAATAAAAATGTATCAAAAAAACGACATGTTTATGAAGTTTATTTTTTAGATTGGTATCTATATAAATAAAAATCAATTGCCAAATGTATGTATATAAGTGAACTATTTCAGAACGGTTGCACCTATTTGGCTGAGCTTTTTTTATTGTGTTTGTAATTGTCAGGACAAGGTTTGGGTGAAAGAAATATTTGAAATATTGAACGGAAAAGTGAAAAATTTGGGTTAAAAAATAAAACAGTGAGTTGACAGATTGACGTTCAGTTGTTCAGTTCGTTCATCATGACAACAATACTTAAAAAAGAAATTGACAGTTTTGTCAAAATGTAAGATAATTATATTTATCCATACCTACTAATATTATAAAGAGGTAAAGTTTGGGAGTTTGGGAGTTTGTTAGGTTGTGGTGGGTAATCTATGGATCTATTGAACCGATTTAGATGAAATTTGGTGAGACCCTGGGAAAAATATAGGGTACTTTTTATCCCGGAAATCATCTCTTAAGGGGGTGAAAATGGGAATGAAAGGGAAGAAAAAAGCGAACCCGAGTGAAGCGATGGCGAGTCGCTAGTTACAAAATAATGTTGTATCTCGGAAGTATTACGACTAGATAAGTTACTTACACTTATAATTTGACTAGCGATTCACCCTCGTTCCGCTCGGGTTCGTCCCTGGTGAAAATTTAGGTTTTTATGTATTTTTTAATGCCGAATCATAAAAAAAAAAAAATTATCCAAAAAAATTTTTTTTGGGGTGAAGCACCCTTATCACTTAGGGGTATGAAAAATTTTTTACGTCCTATTTTCAGACCTACTGAATATACACACAAAATTCATAAGAATCGGTCAAGCCGTTTCGGAGTACGTATAATGTAGAAATTTTGTACTTTTCTTTGTTAGCCCTGTTTATTAATAAACAATGTCACACTAACAATAATTCCAATTATACTACACTAACTAGTAGCTACTCACCCTCGCTTCGCTCGGGTTTTGCATACAAACTTTCATCCCTATTTTCACCTCCTTAAGGGATGATTTCCGGGATTAAAAGTATCCTATGGGTCTCAAACTATCTTCTTATCAAATTTCATCTAAATCGGTTCAGTAGATCTAGAGATTACCTCCTACAACGTCACAAACTCACAAACTTTACTTCTTTATAATATTAGTATAGATTAATATGGAATGAATTGATAACCTGCTTTTTTAAATCAGTTAAAGACTTGCAAATAGGTTGAGGTGTTTCAATTAAAAATTATAAACTACACATGTCTTTGGTAAAATTGCCTATTCATGTACTTGTTGGTCTACATATTATATTGTTATTATTTGCATTTATTAGTCATTTTGTTGCGTTCGATGAATTCAACCTCGATATCTATTAAGTTTTTTTTTAAGTATAAATATGTACAAAGTGTTTTAGAACACAAAACACACACATACAAACTGTGTAAAAATTAGTACTTTAATCATGTGTACATAATTTTTATAATTGTTATGTATCATCAATAGTTTTCTTAGCGCACGCCAATTAATGAATTTTATAGGCAAAATTTTGCTACTTTGGGTTACATTATTGCAATTTTCTTAAGGATCTCTAATTTTTTGAAAATAAATTATAGCCTATGTTACTTTCTGATAATTTAGCTTTCTATTGGTGACACAATTGTTAAAATCGGTCTTGTAGTTTCGGAGCTTATTCGGTACAAGAAAACAAATAAATCTTTTTATAATACTAGTATAAAAGTATAGATTACCCGGAATATTCTTTAATATTTAGGATATTTTTAGTCGAATGAAAGGAGTTCTCACTAGTTATAATTATACTATAAAAGGACCTTAGTAGCAATTAAAACATTTAAAATACTTAACATCATAATATTATTATTGATTATTAGCTGGATCAAATTTTACGATATTCAAAGAAAATAGAAAAATAATATTTTGTAGCTGAAAATGGTAGAAAAAGGAGAGTTACATATAAGTATATACATAACTCTTTTCTCACAATGTAGCAAAAATACATGGTAATATAAAATATATATAGCCTAGCCCTATAGACAAACAAAACCAAATCTATCCCACGGGAACCGTACATTTTTCCGGGATAAATAGTAGCTTATGTGTGTTATTCTGATGTGTAAGCTATATTATTGTGAAGTTCCATTAAAATCTAATCAGTAGTTTTGTGTACTAAGCTGTATAAGTTACTGTAGTTTTTTGACTATCCCACGGGAACTCTTTCATTTTCCGGGATGAAAGTATAAAAGTACTAAAACGATATACCCATTTACTACATGTAGATTGATGTGAAATATGAAATCAGAAAGGAGCTTACCATGGAACTAGATGGTATTGTGTGTTAATGTCCTGACAAAAAAAAACGAATAGGTGAATAACTAACACCTGAATACCGATTTAAAGTTTTAATATAACATATTTCAATAGAAAATTTAAAACACTAAATACATACTTATATATGTAACTGGATCTTTACAAATAGTGATAGTGTTTTAATAAGTGGTATGGTTACCTATCTATTTTGCATTAAACAAAAAACAAATATTATGGTTGATTCCAAGACGCATTGATCGAATATTAGAAATGGCCTAAGAGATGAGAAATGGTATGCATATAGCAGTCTTATAAATCATCTAATTATTACCCAAGTATTATATATAAAAATCAGCTTTTATGCAATAACGTAAGTAGAATTATGATTTCATGAAAAGGGTGTCTGGCATTGAATGACGTGATTTTTAATAATATTCTGAAGGTAATACCAAAAAATCACTCTTTATTATTTGACGAATTTAGATCGGTATTTAGCTCACATTTAGTACCGTGTACCTACCAAAGCCACCATAGCCTGAACTTCATAATGGTCCATCGTTCTTATCTGTGTTGGGAGCATGCGCTGACAAACTTTCAGCTTTTATAAAATGACGAAGGTCTGGCGTTCACGGGCTCTTCCTCTAAAATGAAATGTATTATGAATGAAAGGCAGACTTAATAAATATTACCCATAGAGAGACGGGTACGTTGATGTTACTATGTAGTACATATGTACCTACACCTACGTAGATTTTTTATAGAAATGTTTTATGCTCAGAGTCGAGATGTATCGTTCATATTGTGTGTTTAGTGGTATCAACCTACTACTTTGTAGATTTTAGGGGTCAGGTGTCGAATCTCATCCATTGATCGGCGGGGGGCGGGCGGCTTTCCGCCCACGTGTTGGCTCGCGCCGGGAATAGCCAGTCCGCCCTGAGCCACTGCTCATTGCAGACATTTACCGTCTTTTTTAGACGAGTTGACGAGTCAAATTTAAAGTGCCTTTATATAAATAAAAAAACAATGAAATATAATTAAATTAACGCACATGTTAAACAAAACAAAGATTTGTTTCTTTCTATTTTTGTAATACTATTCAAATTGAAACTTGTTCAAATTTTTTATTTACATTTAATTGGTTATAATGAAAAATAAGTTAGTTAATGAATTATTGTGATATGCGAGTAAAATAATTGTGATTGTGAAGTGTGATTTTAGTAGTGGACAGATACGGTTGGCGTTAAATTTATCAAAAGGGAAGACTTGGCTCATCATTTAGAGGTTGTGTTCTTAATAGCGGCGCCGGCGCTGTGGAGGGGTCGCAGCGTGACCGTATGTGTGATGCGATGCGCGACAAGCTCGCCGCGCTGCTGCATAGCTCGGCTCGTGCGCAGGCACATACGGACAACACCGACAAATTGCACAATAGCGCGATCGCCCCAGTACTGCTATTCTCTAATGAAGGTTTATTTCTTGAATTTTTATAAACTTATTAATCAGGCCGTCAGCGCAAAAGTAACCTAACCCACTGACAGTTAATTTGGAGAAAATAGCTGTAAAATATGTTCATATGTTTTAAATAAAATCAAAAGAAATCAGTAACTAAATACGAAGAGATAGTTTTCTTGAAATGTCAAATATTTGCGTAAATCTAAGGAAGTATTATTTATGTTTATGTGTTTTAAAACTTATTTATAGTTCTCATTTAGCGCTAAATTAAGTTTCAAAGGTTTTTTTTGCGTTTATAGCTTATTTTCTTTTGAAACACTAAATACATACATTAAATATAAATTAATTGAACTAAATATAAATTTCTTATAGACATTTATGTAATAACTAGTTTTCACAAAAAAAAATGGGGGTAAACTATTTTTGTATATTAGATATTTACAAAATTTTGAAATGAGTACATTTGGGGGTGTAACTTTTCTCCCGCTGTTTTTACTCTTTATTCACGATACATTAATGCCTACGCATCGCATCTCATTCAGCCTAAGCCATACACGGCAGCAATGAAAAAAATTGTCGAAGTCACTTAGGCTATTTTTGCATTTCCAAAAAGTTGAAAAAAATTAAATGCAAAAACAATTTTTTAGGTGCATTTTTATTTATAAGTAAAACTGCACTCAGGTCTCTTGTAAATTAAACTTTACCATATTTAGAATATTTTATAGTATATTTAAGTTGAAAAACAGAAACATGTGGGTTAGGCTGTTCTTGCACTGGCAGCCTGATTTAAAGAATAATTCCATACCAGGTAAATATTTCTGGATTTAAATTAACACATTCGAAGTGAAGAAGGACCTAATAAATCTTGTAACTTAGGGACCTACTTTTCTAAATTTTTAATTATTTGAATTGTAAGACCAAAACCTATTTAATCAAATCAAATTATTAAGTAACTATCATAATATAATAACCAATTTGACGTGTGTTTTCAATTTAAATACAAATTATAGTATACTTTACACTTATGTAGACGTTCGTAGACGTGACGTAGACGGTATCAATTTAATAAGATTTTTGTCTTGACCTTTTCAGTTTTCTGCATTGATGAGGAAAATTTCAGAAAAGTTTCAGTTAACATCTTTCATAGCCCTTAAATTTAATTAGACATTTAATAATAATAGTCGTTTTAAGTGTTTCGTATACATGTATCATTGTATACGTACTAGATTTTTCGTAGCGTCCTTGGGTGCTTTTCTCTTTTATAATATTATCATCACAAAAATAATACTGTGTTACGCTTTGATTTAAATCCGTAATTTCTTCTTAAATATTCATTGGAATATGATGTAATGGAACACTTTGACAAAACTAAAATAAAAAAATCCACATGTCCACATAAATAAATCTACGTATTTCGTTTATTATATAACATTCATCAAATCAATACAGTTTAGTTTAATGTTACTCTATATGTTAAATAATAAAATAGTGACATTGTACTTTTTTGCACTTTTAGCGGTTTGGTTTCCGCCTCTGGTTAGCTTTTTTTAACACCTCGAGGTAAATTTCTAAGAAATTAATTAAATTTCTAAGAAATCTATTGTTAAATGTTACGTCGGCGTGTCCGCGGTCGTAGAGGGATTAATATTTAAATGCAGTTATAATATTTTTTAAATAAAGGAATGTTTCGTTTGAGTGGAATTTAATATCTTAATATTTACAGTACTTTTTTCCATGTCCCATTCATTTGTTCCACCCTGTCTGTATACTACTATAAACTTTTAACTCTTTAAAATCTAATTGGAGTACGAATCGATAGGCTAAATAAGGACGGAGAAAGCTTGACCTTTATTTTTAACTTTGTTACTGAACAACGCAAATTGAAATATTTTTAGATTACTTCTAATTTACTTATTACTATTCTTATAATACATATATGGTATGGACTATGGAACTATGCACCTATAATAAATATATTATTAATTATTTGGGTTCATTTTTCAAACTATCATATACATACTTCCTCATATTTAAAGCAGGGATGATGTTATTTGGGGTTTTATATGTTTGTTCTACATAGTGATAAATTCAACAGTTTACAATTGTGTTGATTTACTGCGTAAACTTTTTCGTAGTTCGTACGTAGTTTAGGATATTATTACGGATCCCGGCACGTGATGCCGTATTATTGCGTCATTAAGTGCAGCTGTATATGAGATTCATATTATTTAATTTAAATAAGTGTGATAAAATAATATTACATTTTGAAAATAATCTAATAAACAAGATATTTTGAGTTGCTTGATGAGACGAGAGTCATTCATATTTAAATAAAGGCAGTTAGTTTTTTAAGTAGGACACATGTGATACTAAAGTTTTACTTGCAAAAATATATAGAAATTGATATCGGAAGTGAAAGATAGAAGAACGCGATAACGCATTGATATGGAATCCCATATTGTATAATATGCCTGTAGCGTCTGCAATTTTTACTTCATGTAAGTTAATGTAAACTAGGTCTAGAATGTCATTTAATAGATATATTAAATATTTTACATCACAATTGTTGATTCAGATAAAGATTTACGTAAAATATAAAAAAAGACATATCTTTACAGAACAAAATCACGTTAAGTAGTATAATTAACTTGCTTTCATTGTCAGACTTATAATATTACTTTAAAGTATAAAACTTGTATTATTAATTCAACCAAAGAAAAGTAAAGTTAAGAACCTTTTCTTGTATTAGGTATATTTAATTTAGATAAAAAATAATAATTACACAGTAACATCGTTTCTATATATAGGATGGTATACGTGATCTCTAAACCGTCGACTATGTTTTCATTACGTGGCGTCCGGTGTGACCGTGTATTGAATGACTTAATGCCTGTAAATGTGTCATCAAATGAGAACTTAACCACTGTAACCGAAGAAACTCACGGAACTATCTAATATCTATTGTAAAATGTATTTCATTCTTTTCTGGAAAATGTAGTAACTCTTTAATACCTACAATTTGTCTGAATATCTCTTTCATGTACAGGACATTGTTTGTTTTTCGATATTTTCTCGTATTTCTTAATTGAAGAAAATAAAAATAACTAATAAAGTCCCACGAATGAAAAGTATCATAATATCTATATAATATGTAGTATAATAAAATTAAATCATATAAGGATTAAAAAGCAGATGATATTATATTAAATAACAAATGTTAAGCATATAATTTATATTATACATATATTGGTAATTTAGTAGGAATGGTCATATAGTAGGATTATTATAAAATAATTAATTTCGGTGACAAATCATTTTATAGTGTTAAAATTTAAACAATAAATATTGGCACTTTCACAAGTTAAAAGTAGGGCTTACAATTACTTTAATATAAATAAGTAAATTAATTGTAAGATTCCGACATGGGTCGCAGTGCTGCAAAATTTCACATATAAATACGTACCTACTACCTACTTGCCAAACCTCGTTCAACCCTGAATGAAGGTGACCCACTTAACATTTAGAGCAGAGCTCTGCTTGTAAATAAGGGCTTCTCTTAAGGACTAATAGAGAACTAGCCATCGCTAAGTATTTAAACTTAGTTCATAAATTTAGGTTGTATAGCTAAAGTACCTTAGCAAAGTATACTATGAAAATAAGAATTAAAATTACTACAAGCGAAAAGGATTTGACTAATATTATAATTTGAATATATTATGCATATTACACAGCCCTATTAATTTTGGTGGGGATGATACTTTTGTTTGGCTAAGTATTCAATTAGAAGTGATTTTTGTAACAGAAAATGGTAGAAAAAAGAGAGTTATATAGGTATAAGTATATTTATGTACCTAACGTTCTTTTCTCATAATGTAGCAAAAATACTTAATAGCATTACTATTAATTATATACATATATTGTAGAATTATGAGTTATACCGAATATCATAACTTATAAAGAAGTAGTGAAATAAAATATTATTAACAATTCGGTTTTTGTTCGGTTCGGTTTTTTTACACATACCCTCGTCAAAAGTTGAAGTTAATGCAGTGAGAACATTCAGATGGCATATGTTACCAGAAAATCGTGAAAAAGTAAAAAAATACGAACCACGTGAGTGTAATGACGAGATTATTTAGACTATTTTAGCGTAGGCTACGTGACGTCACGAGGGGCTTGATCCGATGGTATATACTGCCAAGTATTTTTTAAATGGTATCACGGGCTATTAATTTAATAGGGTGACCAGGCTTTGAGCGAGCTAAAAGATTATATAATTAAAATATCTATTCGCACTAGATAATGAAAGCTAGACTTCCTTATTTATGTAACGCAATGCATATTAATTTTTAACATCAAACGAAAAGTGAGTATAGTAAGTTTAACGTCTATGACTCTGGTGACCTCTTAGCTCCCAAACGATTAGTCCGATTAATACCGTATTCATGTCTCAACAAACATCACCTCGTAACGTATTTTTTTTCATTTTTAACGTACTTTATTTAGAAAGACTTTTTAATTTAGTAGTTTAGTTCAGTCTTCCAAAATTTCTATTATTTAGTAAACCATGTTTTATTAATAATTAACATATTATCATAATAATCGAACAAAATATGTCTGGAAACTTTCTGATTTTGGCACGTATGTATTGTGTGCGAACTGTGGTTTATACATTTTAATGTCGCACAACCTATTATCAAAGGATTTATAATCATTGAGCCGTTTGTAATTGTCACAGTATTTCAGCAAGAAGGTTATTATATATATATATTACTGAAATAACTTTCAGTAATACTTTTTAAATAAGTAGTATTTAAATTAAACGTAAATTTAACAGTGAAATAAAAAACTGACATGTTTATGAATTTCTAGTAAAAACTAATTGTTATTGTGTGATAATCTTGATTGCGAGTAGGCAAAGCAGACAAATACCTACGTCATAAGTCAAAACATATAAATAAACATTTAGCCACACCCCCACTAGTTATAATGTCCCTACAGGTAAAGTATGCATCAAAAATTATTTACGTCTTCACATTGTAATTTGTGGCAAATAACTCTTTTGATTTTCTTGACAAAATAAACCCAATAATTATAATTAGCCTGATCCAGCACTTGAACTCGAGACCACCGGATTAGCGACCATATATGCTAGCAATTTACATAGCATTAGACCAATTAGTTAGTTAATATAAAGTAATTTAGTGGCTGTATCGATTCATGTGCATTGTGCACCTGTACAGGGAGCGCACGCGAAGGCGGATTGGTGTGGCGCGGGTGCGCCGCCGACTGCGACGCCGAGGACGGCGCGACGGGAGCGCTCGCCGACGGCAACACCAACGCAGGAGACAAGGTACAGGTTGTTACTTATTCTAATCATCATCTATTTCAATCACTTTATTTCCTACGATAAAGAGGTTGGGGTATAGAGATAAGAAGAAGCACAGGATGAAACTCATACTTATGGGTAGAGTACACTTTAACAAAATAAATATATTTTCGTTTTCAAGTTTTCGAGATATATTGAGGTAAAGATCGCTGACTTGAGAACCTTGAGACTTATTTGTATGCCATTACGCATGTTAACATGTAGTTATTATCTTCTATTCCTATGTATCAGTTTAATTGTAGACTAAAAGTTAGAAAAATAAATAAAATGGCGGAAGTTTGGCTATGTCACAAAGGTTCTGTCTTCTTTAGATATTTGGAAATGCGCTTTAATTAATTACTTATATCGTCTGTATTCTGTGATAAACCACATACACTCGATATATTATTCAATTATTAATTAGGTAAATAAAGATATAACAAACATTTTCGAAATTATTTTTTGTTAACGTTAAAATTAATTTCGTCAATTTACAAAAGTACCTATATCCACTTAGATTAGCAGCATAGACGGTTCACTCCAATTTATTATGCAAATATTAAATACACCCTAACAAGTGTAGGTGTTTAAGCAGAATCATGTAACACATACCAAGTATTAAATAAATTAACATTTAAAATGTTTACGTCTTCTGTCTCTGATAAATTAAATTGATTACGTCGTGTTTCTGTTTTTAATGGTAAATTAATATTTTATTTTAACTACTTGAGCATTTACTGAATTTTATTGTAACTAACGAATACATAACATATTTTTAAAAAAATATTTTTAATTTTTAATCGAATCTTCTTTACGCATTTATTTTATTTTTTTTCAAAACTTTTCTAACCATACAAAAAAAAAGTTAAAACAAAAACTATGATCTAAAATTTCACTTAATTAAACGTTATCTTATTCTTATTCTACATTGCCCAACAAATGTATGTATCTATGATCGTGAACTTTGTCCAAGCCCACCAAGCAAACTTTTGTGTTGTCGTAATAATGGCCCAAGATCTCAAATCTTTTGAAATTAACAAGCTTACTTTCTTTGGAGTCGGGTCGACTAGTTTTATCTATTGCTTACCGTTTTTTTTGGAGTATGACACGGTAGATCCTTTAATTTATTAGCTAAAAACAGATAGGAAAATCTCCAAGTAATCACGAGAACTCACTTTTGTTCAATTGAAATCAATTTGGATGCTACCTAGTAGAAACCATAGAAAATACGAATTCGTTAACATTGATGTTTTCTTTTTGTTCATATGAGATGCTTATATGATCTGTTAGTTACCTGAAATAGTGTTCAATCTCTTCAGTCTATGAATCGATCAATCTACGGATGTCTAATATGAGGTCACATGCCTTCACTCATAGATATCCCGTCGGATGCTCTAATGTTTAAATTCTGTAATATATTTCTCATGGTGGTATACTACGAGATAGAGTACCTGCCTCTTTACTAATCTGTAATAGTGAATAGTAATTTTATTATACGTATGTATGTACCTATGGATATAACGTTGTTTTCATATAAATTTAGATTATTTCACTATAACAAGTACTTGATGACCGCCGTTCCATTTCTTTATTTTTCAAAAACGTCGAACACTTGAAAATAAAAAAATACAAATTCTGTAGCAACATACATAATTTGACATTATGAGTATTCAAAGTGTTTAAACATAATGAGGTAATATGTTTACTAAAAAACATACGTATGTACGAAAAACCGAGAGGTTTTTAATCATATGCATGCAATCAAAACTAATACTGACATTATGTGAAATACAGTGTTATTTTTAAATTATAAGAAAAAACTTTTTATAGTTTCATGCGCATATTGCCTAACTGTATTATTTGGATTAGGCATTCTGTTACATTTTAGTAAATTGATGAAGGTGTGTTTTTTCTTTATTTTACTATATATACGAAATTGTGTTTGTCTGATTGTTTGTTACATTTTCACAGCGAATTTTTTTTACAAAATATTTCAACATGGAAACGAAATTAACAATTTGAAAAATAATAAAACAAAACCACAATTAACCAATGAAACTTCCATATAAAATGAAACCTCCTTACCTTCTAATTCGTTTAAAATTTTAGATGATTAAGATTTTATGGTAAGAGTTTGTTCGTAATATTCTATTGTATGCAGCTGGAGGGGTCGGACGCAGCTCCGGACGACCCTGTTCACCTCAAGAGACGGGTGGGACTCTTCAGTGGGGTGGCTCTAATCGTTGGTACTATGATCGGTAGGTTCATTATTTTTTCTAACTTAGTATATATTTTATTAAAATGGGAACTAGAACTCTACCATTTTGTTAAAATGTAAAGTCCAGCTCTATTTTTTGTCACAAAACAGCTAATACGAAGCTAATTCTACTAATTGTGACGTTAAAAGACAATGTATTTATTCTTAACAACTATAAAATTAGCTTATTCTAAGAATAAAAACTTGAAGTAACCTTAAAAGAATAAATATTTAATAGTTTGAACTATCAATATTGTAACATTGAACATACGTTAGCTCACCATGTGTTTAAAGAACGTCTTTAAAAATAATAAACTATGGTAGTCTAGGACATTCAAGTATAAAATATACGTACATGAGTGTAAAATTTCATGCTTATGCTGTAAAAATTTGCTTACGTCATATAAGATTGAAAATTAAAACTCAAAAATGACTAGCCACGCAAAATTACACTGTTTCAAATACTTATACGCTTGTTGTACATTTTTAATATATGTATTTGACTCAAAAATACTAAAGACCGCCGTGAGTTATAGGTACTCTGTAAAGTAGGGCATGGTTGTCATTTACTATTGCTTCAAAGATTGTGGGTTCAAATACTGAATGCACTGTCTTTATGTTCTACAAGGGAAATTAATCGTTTCTTCATCTCAGACATAATAGATGTGTTAATTTTTTTTTGATAAGCTAACTAATTTAAAAGAAATGTTAATATGCATAATTTTCATTTAAATAGCGCGTAGAGTCACACGTGAAAACTAATAAAGTATAAATGGCTTAGATCAATATATTAAGACAGTGCTAATTGGAATTTATACTGTTGATCTTTGCAATGTCTTTAAATAATGGTAAGCGATGACGCAGGAGTTTGAAATCGGATACGACACCTCTGATAATTGCAATAGAATATGAGACAACACCTTATAAAACGCTTAGCCATTATCCGTTTATACTTGCGGTTTATACGGAGTATAGATGCGCAATGTGCATGATGTAATCGGTACATGAAATGAAGTTTTAACAGATTCACCTACATTGAATATTTGTTGAGCATTTATTTTGGGACAAGCGACTCACCCTCGTTCCGCTCGGGTTCGTCCCTACATTTTAATGTTAGCATAGATATCTTAGAGATGAGATATTTTCACGCAGTAAAAAGTCTTGTAAAGGTTGACCTGGATACCCAGCTATCATCATACCAAATTTCATCAAAATCTCTCCAGTGGTTTTTTTTTGTGATGCGGTAACAGACAGACAGACAGACAAAAATTCTAAAAACTATAGATTCGGCCTCTTTACTAATCTGTAATAGTGAATAGTAATTTTATTATACGTATGTATGTACCTATGGATATACCTATAGATGTCAATAATATTAAAGATTTTTGTTTGCCCATCTGTTTTAATAAAAGTTAAAAGAGTTATAACCCCAGAACGCTTAGACGCTATATATGAGTACTATATACGTATTATATGACTATAGGTATACAGTCATATAATATTTAGTAGACCTTCCTTCTTCCCAAAACAAGTAAACCTTATAAGGTTTACATGTTTGGGAAATATTATTTACATAAGTACTTGTTTTGAAAATATCTCTATACATACCTATTTTCTAAATAAAAATAAATAAGTGACTTTGAAGTTGCATACACGGGCAGAAAGTAGTACAAAATAAAATATTGATTGATGCGATGTTACCTGTCGCCTGCTGGTAACATCACGGAACTTGCGTCACTACATTTTATTGCGAGTATGATATGTTATTTGTAGGACTTTGATCAATGCAATCGCACTTACGTTCTTCTACTACAATTAATTTAATCCCAAGCTATTATATTATGAGACAGATTTGGCTTATTAATATTGCATCAACAACTTATCGTTTAAAAGCCGAATTTATATTATGAAACCGGACGTAACAAGAATGTAACGACTCATAATCTATTTAGTTTGATGTAATCCTCATATAATTAGACAAATTATAGAACTAACACTCCACTCAGCCAATATGTTGCATCCCGAAACTACGAGTAGTACCTATAGCTTTATATTTTCGTGGTGTAATTAGTTGAGTGAGGTATGGTATCTGTATGAGTTTTTTTTTGTTATTTGTTATTTAAGTTTCGTCAATTAACGAACGTATTGATTATATAAATGAATAATGAATTTAGAGGAAATACATATGAAATTGCTAACGAAATTAATGTTATTAATTGGTTTATTTAACGGCACTTATTTAAAAATATAGGTAAGTTAGACATTATACTTAGTTTAATAGGTTTCATGTTATTGCATTGGATATATTAATTAGAAAAACTCATGATTTCATCCGCAATGCCAAATAACAATAAAATAAACAATATGTACATTGTGTATATGTATACGTATTATGTACATATTAATAACTTATGTAAAGAAAACTTTAAAAAATACGTTATAAGTAATTTGTTAATTCTTTTACATATAAAATAATGATAACAGTATCGTAATTAATTACTTCTTAAAATTCCACTTTCACTTAGGTGTTTTAGTCAACCAATTTATGCTTCGGGTTTCCGTGGTAAAGTCAACATTTTTCGTTGCGAGCCATTTTTGTCTTTCAACAGCGCTTATCGTAGAGACACGTCGTGTTTTAAATGATCCTTAATTAAAAATTAAAGAATTATAATTAGTCGAACGAATATATTCTATGCTGTTAAATACTTATCGCTAAAAGCAGCTAATTAGTGTTAAGTTGAAATATATACGTTCTCGATCTGTCTAATCGATACATCATCCTCTCAGCTTAGGTTGAACCTGCGGTCTACGACGTCCATTGTAGACTTGTAGTATGTAGTCGATATGGTCATACCAGTGACATAGCATGGCATGACCAGATAAAGCTGTATGACAATAATTTTCATATGGAGTTTCATTTTTCTAAATAACACTAATTTTATAAATGCAAAACCTTATGAGTCAGTATGTTTGTTACTTCTTTATACTGTAAGCCCGTAATATACCAGCTTATATCTTGTATACACATAAATTTGGAATTGGGGGCGAAAAGTAGTTAAACAATCGAATAAATCTCAAATTGTGGATATGTTTATTAGAAAAAGACCGAAAGAAGTCTAATGTAGTAGCTACAATATGAAATATTGCATTATACAAAAATCTATTTAGACTGATGGTATCTACTGCGAAAGGGTTTTTTAGAGCTTTCCAGTTAAGCTAAATTTTGTGCTGATAATTAATCTATACTACTATAATAAAGAGGACAGATTTGTATTTTTTGTATGTTTGTAACAAAAAAACTTAAAAACTACCTACTGGATCGATTTAGATGTTTGGTAAGAAGATGTTAGTGACCCTGGAAAGGACATAGGATATTTTTTATTCCGGAAATCATCCCTTAAGGAGGTGAAAATGGGGATGAAAATTTGTATGGGGATTGGGGAATCAACCTAGGAACGAACTCGCGAAGCTAGGGTGAATCGCTAGTGCTAAATAACTATAGGTACTAACTAAAATTGATTTAGAATAAGAATAGGTGTTCTATGATATTACTGGCTTATAGTACCAACTATCTACCTGTATTTGTTATAATAAAAACAAATATTTTAAGCACATCTTATTAAATGTCCTTCACATACAAGTGCCATTATTTATATTTAAAAACTAGTCTTTCTTAACATGATGTGCTATTTAATTAACTTTATTTAATATTTTTTACAAAACGTTTAAAGTCTAATGTCCCGGAAGAAGTAAATGATTTTTTTAATAAGCCTGTGTAAGTATAAAAGGAAGTCTTAGGAGTTAGTAGAGTGCATTTATAAACGTTATGTTATGTACGTTCATTAAACGGAACACGAATATGAGTTATTTGAGTTAGGTTGATAGTTTATTATAAAAAAAAACCTAAATTGTATATTATACAATTATAAATGCCAATATTTATACAAGTAGGTACTTACTTAGAAGTCAAAGTACTTAGTTGACCTAAAACAAGGAAAAGTATAACGTACGAAAAGTGTAACTTTCGCCACAGGCAGGCATTATGTATAATAAATATATAATCTACGACTTCGAATATGATTAATTATTATTTAATTCTCTCTTAGAGCTATGCGAATATTTAATATTTTAAATCAAACTTATCTTTTCGGACAGTCTTTTTCGTGACCAATGACCATGTTGAAAGCATCCGAAACATTCGGAACTGATGACAATAATACAAAATAAAACCGCGACAAAATCCGAAAAAATAGTTTTATTTAAATGTTATTAGATACTAATACTACATTGTTTCTAAAGGATCTGGAATATTCGTGTCGCCCTCTGGGCTTTTGGAGCGCACTGGCTCAGTGGGCATAAGCTTCATCATATGGATGGCATGTGGCCTGCTCTCGCTGCTTGGTAAGTTTATATGCAAAATTATGTAGTTACCGTCATATGTCTATCATCGTGCTACTGTTATTACAGTTATTACAGCTATAAAAATTTTAGAGAGAGTTCGAAATAACTTATTTCGCCTTTGAATTAGCTTTTTTTATCTCTAGACTTACTCTGAAAGCTAGGCGCGGGCAAAAACTAGCTACACTTATAACTGTAAAATTTTAGTGTATTTCAATAAATGTTACTGTGCATTATTTATTGATACAGGAGCACTCGCATACGCGGAGCTAGGAACGATGAACACATCTTCCGGCGCTGAATACGCGTATTTCATGGACGCATTCGGAGGACCCCCAGCATTTCTGTTTTCATGGGTGGGTACATATCAATATAACTATTTATAATAATTTTGTAATAAATAATTGAACTTTATATTTGTGGACTCCAACTGGCCGCGCTAGTGTTTATTAGTTTGAATCTACATACGGAAATTCATTTTCCGTACATATTTTATTTCCGTAGAGTTATTATATATTAACGATATAATTATTATATATACAACGTCAAACCAAAATTTATAGTGTAATTAAAATTTATTTTAAAATATATACGAAAATAACATTAAACTTTAATTAATAGTATAAAAAATGTTTTAAAAGACAAAAAAATCGAAAGTGCATCATATTACATATATATATATATATATATATATATATATATATATATATATAAGAGACATATCATATGACATATTCCTCGATAAACAATAGCATTCCCAAGGAGGGTTGACGTCAGGCAGGCGGCCGGTCGTAAAACTTTTGCCAAATCCTTTCAGCAGTACAGTTTTAATAACTATGAATTAAGATATTTAAGAAACAGTGATGATACAAACTTCATTTTTCATTTACATGTTACAGATACGAGTACCTATCTACAAACATTTTGTGGGCTGACATTGAGTATTAAATACTTACCTACATAATACGTACCTAACCAATGAATGTCATTACTTTGTAGGTTTCGACATTGGTACTGAAACCTTCCCAAATGGCAATAATCTGTCTGAGTTTCGCAAAGTACGCGGTGGAGCCATTCGTGGCGGAGTGCGAGCCGCCCGACACGCTCGTCAAGCTGGTTGCGGTCATATCCATTGGTAACCATGCATGATATGTTTCAATTTAATTCATCGCTCTCTTGTCGATTATATCAATAAGAAAGCGATGTCTCAATACCTTTTGTCGATTTTCCATTTTTATTAAAATTGTTGGTTTATGAAAATTGTCCTTAATGTAAGAATTTATTTTTGAACCTTTGTTGCGCACAATTTCTCCCTTAGTTCATTGAGATTTGCCAAATATAAATTATATAATATGTACATACATAATATATAGGTATATCAGTTTGTTAATGCAGAAAGAGTTGTTTTTATTTGAATCCGTCACATATTTTTATAGTAGGTACATATAGTATAAAATACAAATACATAAATGTTATGCTATTTATTGCTAATTGTTTTTTTAGTTATGATCCTGGCGGTTAACTGCTACAGTGTGAACTTAGCGACAAACGTACAAAACATTTTTACTGCGGCGAAGTTAGTAGCGATTGCGATCATCGTCTGCGGAGGAGCGTATAAGTTGATATTAGGTAATAAAATACTACAATTTTATTATTCAATAAACATCCCGCACACGATCCTTTATTTTGTTATATATAAATCTATATTAAGCGAAGATTACTGGACTGGACCGAGACACCTGCAATGTAAATATACATAACATATATTCTAAACTTTATTAAACTTAATTACGACAAAATTTCCGAAATCTAAATCAATATTTAATTATATAAGCACTATCACCTTACATACATTACTAATAACATTTGCACTATCTTATACAAATTGCATGTCATCACTTAAATAAATATCCTCTAAAGTCTAAGTATCTAGAACCACATACATTTCAACTAGCCGCCATATCACAGTCAATCATTGATCTAATCATAAAGGTTGAATATTGTGAATAGACTGACAGTAGGTTGTGTCCGTATGGTGCAGGTAATACGCGACATTTACAGGAGCCCAACTTCGCGAGTAGCACGGCCACTCTCGGCAACATCGCCACGGCCTTCTACACCGGCCTTTGGGCATACGACGGCTGGAATAACCTTAACTATGTCACTGAGGAAATTAAAAACCCATCCAGGTAAGTGCACAATTTGTTGAGACGGGTTTTTGTTAGAAAGTAGACCTTTGCTTTGGTTTGGAAAATATTTGCTAGATTTAAAATATCTGCTGCTTATGTTAATTATATTGAGATTTGAGACTAATAAATATAAATTATACAATGCGCCCTAGGCGCCGTCGCGTCCATTGTGCGTTGATGTTATTGTGTCAGATACATGAAACTGCTTCGGTGATTTAGTAGCTAGCATGTACAGCCGCTGATCCGGATGGGTTCGAGTCCCGGGTCGGGCCAAGTTCAGTTATTGAGTATTTCTGTAAAGAAATTCTCACTTAGAGTTGTGAAGTTTGCAGTGTTTCACCCCCGTGCCTCAGAGAGCACGTAAAGCCGGAGTATGAGAGTGATAGGAATAGAGAGTGCACTTGCGTTTCCGTGCATAGGTATATAGTTGTGCACTATAATATCTCCTACACAGATTGCTAGTCTCAATGAGTTTATGTAGGTGAATATTCTCCGAACTCATATAACCATATCTAACAATTTTTATCGCAATCGGTTGAACGGAATAAAAGTTGAAGTTCCTGCTTTATAGCGCCATCTAGTGGTGAACTCTGAATTTGTCATCGAATGGGAAAATGGACGGATAATATTAAAACATTTTCAATGTAAATACACTTAGGTATATTTAACAAGCACGATTTTACTAGTGATCTAGTACATTAAGGTAGCTATTAGTTAGTTTCTTATAACAACTATTAGTATAATATACTTTAACTTTTATTTTTTTGCACCACCGTAATCACATTCAATTTTTACTTCATTTATTGTAAATATCTTGAACTTATATTACATTTTTTTCCTTTTCTTACAAAAAATGTAAATATGTACTTATCTACAATTATTGTTTAGCACAACAGCTAATTGTCTGGTTTGTACTGCGCCAGAGGTCGCAAAGATTTTACACGACGGTTTTTGTAAGCCATACGCCCTTATAAAATATGTTTGGTTAAATTTAGAACTTATTGCACCTTGTGTGGTGAGTATAGATATAGCTAGCTTATAACAAATGTTCTCTAAAGAATAAAAATTAAGAACGCAGTCTTTTAAAATTTTATGTTTTCCTAAAATAAATGTTAGCGATTCAAATGTAGCGCTAATAACTTAGGGATAACTGCGCACTAAAGTCAAGTAAAGTCCCCAGTGGTATACCTATACTTGGATGGATGACCATATTTGCATTAAAATTGAGTATTTCCTCCACACTTACCTCAGTCTTTAGGGCTCAGAGAAGTCATGTCATGTCATTGTCATTCTAGTGTGTTGTTACTAGTTACTACAATGGTTGAGGAATAGAAATTTAAGAAATTGTATTAAAATGACAAAGTCAATCGTTACCTATGTCATAGAGTCATAAAGTTATTAGATTACTATTATAATTGTGAAAGTTTGTATGTATGTTGTATGTCTGTTTGTGTATGTTTGTTACATACTACTTTACTCCCACCCCACCAGCGTAGAGTGGCCAGGTCATTAGTTCTCATTTTTTTTTAGATTTCTGTCTTGAACGACAAATAAACAACACACAACAAGGCAAAAAATACAAGAGTCTAAGCCCACTTGTACTAAATACAAAATCGTGACACAAACTTTAGATTTATATCCTTATTACATACATCATTAAGTCGTCTTGGCATATATAATAACAATATAGACACAAACATCTAAGAACATCACTACTTCAGTATATAAAATACGCGTATATGTATTTGTAAGGAACCTCCCGCTGAGCATCATCATCGGCATCCCGCTGGTGACGCTGTGCTACGCGCTGGTGAACGTGTCGTACCTGGCGGTGATGTCGGTGAGCGAGATGGCGGACAGCGAGGCCGTGGCCGTCACCTTCGGCAACCGCCTGCTCGGGCCCGTGGCCTGGCTCATGCCGCTCGCCGTCACCATATCCACCTTCGGCTCCGCTAACGGCACTCTCTTTGTTGCTGGCAGGTCAGTCTCATGCATTTTACTCTAAATGTAACGCGAGTCAAGTGATATCGACAGTGCAATATTAAACATGTCTTGGCATTAATATCTAGTACTAGCAATCTACTTCTTTCCTGTCGACCAGGCTACTCCTTTTTTAACTTTTCGAAACTTTTCACTTTTGCCCCTTCAATGTGACGAACAACTAGGTTTTACTAAAATAGGACAAAAACATTTAGTTTTTCACGAGATTTCTGCTACTATCTTTTTTTCCTTAGATGTTAAATTAAAAAAAAATCATTTTAGTAATTACTCGTGGGTCGTGTCATTAAAGGAATTCATTATCGTGATTTTGGCCCTTTTGGTTCAGCAATTTGGTCTATTATTTTCCATAAGCTAATTGAATTTTTTTGAGATCTATTTAATAATAGTCCAAAGACAGGCCTGTTCAATGTAACTAACGCGCAATTTTTTTTTAAATTATGTACGAAACTCCAGCATCAAGGTTGCAGCAATATGCTATCAGCTATCTTCCAGTGAAAGTCCTGTCGAAATCAATTCAGCCGTTTCAGAGATTACCCGGAATAAACTGACAGACAGACAGACAAAAATTTATAAAAATGTGTTTTTATTATAAGTACCGTATATAATTTCATATCCATTTAGTAAAACGCTTTTTATTTTGACATTACAAACAGACACTTCAATTTTATTTATCTGTATAGATTTTAATCTAATCATTAAGTATAGGTATACTATATAGTAATATAGATATAATTCTTAAATCTATTGATCGGAACCGCAACACAATTATACGTATATAATACGTGGAATTTTGTTTATGATATCTATATAGTATACATACATATAATAAAACAGTAACTCAGCGAAATCGATGTGCGCGTTTCACGCAAAAAGTACAGAACCGATTTTAACCTGTGTAGTGATAACTTATTACTCGAGTCAACATTTAGGATACCTTTTACTACGAAAATCTCCAACGGAAAAAACACAATAACTGGTCAATCTAATCCTTCGTAACGTATATGACTAACGCTGATTAAGAGGATTGTGAACCTGTAAATTTTCATACAAAAAGCGATAACGTTTTTCCCCCCTTAAACATAGTCTAATTTTCATAATTTTTGGAAATGTTGTAGATATAATCAAAATCTAGGTCCGTACGTTTTTATTTTTTTGAAATATTGCGTACGACAGAAGTTATTAGCATCTAAATATCTATATTTTTGACCTAAAAACTTCCTCCAGCGTTTTTATTTGTTTAAATTAAACTAAACTGAATTACAAAAAAAGGAAAACGTACAGACCTAGATTAAGGTGTACTGAATCTAATGAGACCAAAATCGTCTCATTTCGTTAATGTTTAGGGGGGTGAAAACGTTATCGCCCGAAACAATATTTCAAAAAGGAAATGTAGGTAATTGAGTCTAAGACTTGCAACTCTCTCTATCGCACCATACGGGTCGGGGGCAGGGGCATATTTTAGACTGTAGTGATGTTGAAGGTGCTATCGATATTATTATCTCCTAGGGAGGAGAAGGTAATATCGATATATCGATCGATACTGAAAGGATTCAATCCAAAGTTTAGAATTTTATTATACTCGTATGTATAGATTGTAACTAAGCCGTATCTGTACATTAAATATTTTTTGGAAAATATTATTGAAATAAACATTATTATCAATACAGAGGCCGAATCTATAGTTTTTTGAATTTTTGTCTGTCTGTCTGTATGTCTGTCTGTCTGTTACCACGTCACAGAAAAACCACTGGAGGGATTTTGATGAAATTTGGTATGGTGGTAGCTGGTTATCCGGATCAACATATTATAGCATTACCGCGGGAAAATATCTCATTTCTGAGAAAAAATACAAAACTGAAAATATATATATATATATATATATATATATATATATATATATATATATATATATTTAAGTCATTTTTAATTTACTGAAGACCTTTTGGGAATATACTATTTACATCATAACAACAACCTCTGTAACAAGAAAAAAAAAATATTTCTTAAATTTTCATTTTCATACAAAAATAAAAATATTTTCTATATCATCATCATCATTATATCTGGCCAAGTTTGAATGAGTAAGGACCACTTCCTACACCCCTCCACCCCTCGCCCTCCACCCCTCGCCCACCACCGGTCACGCGCTTTCTTTTGCTAATTGCTGGACTATTACCGTTTAGAAGGAGCAATAAAAATACTTTTATTTTTGTAAAATTTATATTTTTAATTTTATATTCGTTATAATTTATAATATTCGTTATAATTTTATGAAAATTATTACGAATAGTATGTGTATAATTATATATATATACACATACTATTCGTTATAATTTTTTCGAAATTATCGATATTTTATTAGTTTTTGGAGTTAATTTTATTGATTTTTCTGAAAAAAATGATTTTAGGGCAATTACAGAAAGAAATGAAAATCATTCGTAATCTAATCTTGTTTATTCATTAGTTAAAAATATATTTAAAAAAATTAAGTTGATATATTTTATAAAATTTAGTCATAGATATGTTAAAAAATCGTAAATCATCATCATTCATGATCAGGTCATTTTATGAATTTCTATTCCTTATATACCTGCTAACATTATAAAATCATAAAACTTCAGGTTTTCAATAAAATAATTATTTTAACAATAAAAGGATTCCGATGAGTCTATTAGTACCTACATAAACAACAAAAAATTCTATAACTTTCAACTTTTGGAACGAGATTTTTGTAATTGATCTAAACCACCTATTTATTTTTTTATGATTTTTTGAAGTCATCAATCTAAACAAGTCAAATTTTAAATGATATTCGCCACAGAATTGTAATTTAGAGTTATTTCAGTTTATGAATAAAGGTGCGATGTAACTTGTAGGGAATGTATATTGTACGCAAACCGTTAAAATAATAAATATTAGATAAACTTTGAAATTGCTCTTGCGCCGAGTCGCGCCGCCCCCGCCCCCGCCCCCCGCAAGCGCCCGCGCGTCACCGGCTGCTGCTATCATAGTGTGTGTGAGAATTTGCGTATGTTGTATTTGTGTTGTTCACTGCCGGGGGGATGCAAAGCGGTATGAAACAGATAGCATTTTTAAAAATACCTACTCTCGCCGCGTATCGGCACTTCACAATCCTCTTAAAGCTGAGATACATCATAACAATGTACTAGAAAATTGTATGTCTTAAAAAGGCCTACAGAAGTCTGCAATAGTAGGTTTAAGTCTATCTCCTAAGGTACATTCGCAATAACTATTTTTATCTATACAAATAATAAAATTGAAGTGCCTGATTGTAATGTCAAAATAACAGCATTTATACTAAATTCTTATGAAATTATATACGGTAGGTACTTATAAGAAAAACATAACTTTTAAAATTTTCTGTCTGTCTGTTTGTTCCGGCTAATCTCCGAAACAGCTGGATCGATTTTAACGAGACTTTCACTGGCTGATAGTTATAAGGAGTACCTTAGGCTATTTTTATTTTAGAAAAAGAATTAGGGATCCGTTAAAAAAAAACGTACCCGAGCGAAGCGAGGGTAAGTCGTTTGTTTTACATAAAACATTGTAAAGCCGTAACAGTAGGTATACCTACTGTATTAATAAATAAAAAAAATGTCTTTTGTATATTTTTAAAATATGATATTCCAACACTTGTAATCTTTTATGCACGGCCACAAGACACATTTATTACAGTAATTTCATTTCTTGGATAGATTGCAAAAATCTAAGAATATAAATGAAATGCTTCGCATTCTTATCTAGTACACCGTACCTACTACATTGAGTGTATGCTTGATCCTATATGATCTTAGATATGATAAGCATGGGTAGTTAATATGTTAAGGTCAATTTTATTATTACTACTAGCGATTCACCCTCGCTTTGTTCGGGTTCATACATAAGTATGTTTTAACGGTTAGTATGGAATAAAAAGACTAGATATATTATATTAGTACATATATGTATATGTAACATAGGTATCATGAGTTTTATATCCCTTACTTGAGAAATTATTGATTCCCCAAACAAATTTTCATTCTCCTTTTCACCCCTTTAAGGAATGATTTCCGGGATAAATACTATCCTGTCTTTCCCAGGGTCTCAAACTATCTTCATGGCAATTTTTATCTAAATCGGTTCAGCGGATTTTTAGCTTATTCATAACCAACTCACAAAATTACAAACTTTACCTCACTTTTCGGTTTTTTTCGCGAATTTATTTTGAGTTTTAGTTCCCTCTTTATAATATTCGTGTATTTTTTACCAGTTTGTAATTTCGTGTATCAAACGTCTCGTCAAAATTGAAAGGTTAAGCATCAAATAAGTACGTCGTTACGTCGCGTCGTACAAATTATAACATCTTCAACATAACAACTTCGACTTAAAGACACGAGTACATAGACTTTTAATTATTTAAAGTTGTAAATTAAAATTAGAATTTGCTGTAGGTTGTGTTTCGCCGCATCTCGTGAGGGGCATCTGTTGGACATTCTGTCGTATGTCCACGTGCGTCGCTTCACGCCGGCGCCGGGACTCATATTCCACGTATGTATTTAAAGACGTCTTACATCGATGTAACTTTCGTATGCGCTCGAAAGTTTATTTTATTTATTTTTTAGTTTTAAGATATTTAGGTCAAAGCTGTGTTTATATTTTAAATATTAAATTAATATACTTATTTACAAAATATAAATTTATGAAAAGGAATTTTAATCAGTCGGAACAATTAATTATTTTATAAATTTGCTTTCTCACCTATAAAATCAGACACAGAGATACAAAGTATAAGAAAACAGCATATGGTTGGATTGTTACCAAATAAAATTACACAATCATTGGGAAGTATTGTTACAATGAAACTGCCGTTAGATTAATATGTAGACGGACAAACAATAATAATCGAAACAGAAGCTATATATCATATAATTATTTTTGTAATGAATTTTATAAATACTATGTTAAATAAAGTTGAAATATGTTAAATAAAGCTACAAACGAATACACTACACACTTTATATGACTAATTGTAACTACTAATAATAATTAAACAATCTAAAATATAGGCGTGTTGAGTTAAAAAATGATAGCGTTCCTATTTCCTAACAACTGATCATCGCTTCGGGTGGGTCTCTCTAAAGAAATAAAAGAGATGCCTAACAGTCTATAATGTCCAGGTCATTCTCTGTACTACGTATATGTACTACACTCAAATCTGTCCAGCCGTTTGAGTGTGAAGAATTAACAAACATAAAAAAACGCATTTATAATAGTAGTCTAATTGTATGAACGAATATCTACACTGTGTTATCTCCCCTTGCAGTCTTTGATAGCGGTGGCGATGGTCCTGTACGGCACCATCGACTCGCTGATCGACTTCTTCTCGTTCACGGCGTGGATCTTCTACGGCGGCGCCATGCTCGCGCTCATCGTCATGCGCCGCACCAAGCCGCACGCGCCGCGCCCCTACAAGGTACGGCTGTGTGTACATATAGTGCACTACGTATGTCGATAAAAAAATAGCCTGTGTTGATTCAGGATTTATATATGTACTTAGGCAACCGAACTTAGCTTGTTATTTGACGGAACAGGTATAAAAATAGTTTTTTTCTTTTCAGTAAAGACACGTATAATAGATAAACTTAAAAAACAAAACCTTATCAAAATATATAATTTGATCTAAAGCGTCAGAGCCATTTCCGAGATACACGAAATAAATTTATATTCCACAAGAATTGCTCGTTCAATATTATATGATAGGTATCTATATATTTACATATCACATTATATTTTCACTGAGATTCAGTAAGAGTTACTGTGTGTAAGAAGAGAAATAGAACAAAGCCAGATTTTTTTCTGTTTTGTTTCTGTTAGTACGGGCTAATCTTCGAAACTGTTGGACCGATTTAAATTAAATTTTGCGTGGTGGTACCTTATATCCCCCGTCAACATTTTAGATACATTCATCTCGGAAAATTAAAGAGTTCCCGTGGAATATTTAAAAAACTATAACTACTTATACAGCTTAGTACACAAAAACTACTGATTGAATTTTAATGAAACTTTACAATAATATAGTTCATAGTTCATACATCAGAATAACAAATAAGCAACTTTTTATCCCGGAAAAATGTACGGTTCCCGGATATATTTGTATTTGTTTGCCTAGAGGCGAACCCGAGCGAAGCGAGTGAGCCGCTAGTAATAATATAAATTATAAATACATAATTTACCATATGGGAAAGACTTCTGTGTTTAGATTATGCATTAATTTGGCATTTTCTTAACATGTGTAGATGAGTTACATACTATAACTATATTAGTAAACATGGTCTTATAAAGTTTGTGATATTCAAAAAGGTTTGAATTGTAATATGATGATGATTTCTAACGATGTGTGACAACGGTCAGGTGCCAATAATAATCCCGTACATCGTGCTGCTCGTGTCGGCGTACCTGGTGGTGGCGCCCATCGTGGACAAGCCGCAGTGGGAGTACCTGTACGCGGGCGCCTTCATCCTCGCCGGCCTGCTCGTCTACATGCCCTTCGTGAAGTGGGGCTACTCGCTGCCCTTCATGGGTGAGTTCCATATCTTTAGTGAACCCTTATTTATTTATTTATATTCGGGGGAAAAATACAATTACAAATTACGATCACTTTTATCAAAGTGGAAAATCAAGTTTTCCTAAAATTCATTTATTTTGATATTAAGAATGTCCAGATCTGGTATAAGAGTGAACATATTGTTAAACAACTTCATAACCTTAACCAAATATCATATTTTACATGAAGTTTTTGGTCCGTTTTATAGCGAAATGTAAAAAATATAAGACTAATTTGAGATTTTATCAAAGACTTATATAAAATTTCAGCTCATTAAATAACAATATTTTCTCTACAGATAAAATAACAGTGTTTCTGCAAATGGTGCTGGAAGTGGTGCCAACGACGACCACCTTCGAATATTAGTCGCGCTGGACTATAAAAAAGCAATTTAGAAATTACAAGTTTGGCTTTTTCCAAAATATTTTTTTATGATTGGGTCATAAATTGAATGATATCAAATCAATTATAAAATACTAAGCAGTTAAGTGTAAGGAATCTACTATTGTAAAATGTAGTCCGGCTCAGTATGTTGATGATTTATTTTTTGACTGATGTAACAGGTTCCTTTTTGTACTTTATAATAATTGTTTACAAAATTAAAAATTATATTATCGATTAAATAGTTCATATTGTTATTTTGTATTTTTTAACTTTTAAAGATCTTATGAAATGGTTAGATGTTATGTATAAATACTTACGTTTACATGTGACTTTATATAGTGTTCCCAAACGTGTTTATCGGAGCCATTTAAGGCTTTTATTTTCGCTTAGATAGAAATTGTTCATGTCTCATTTCATTAGTTTGCACGAATCATTCCTGTGGGCATTTGCAGTGAGATTTCGCCAAGTAGTAATTACGAGGTTATTAGAACTGCCAAGTTAATTATAAACAATTAAATTATTTTTTTCTACCAAGTTTACTAAATAATAAAATATTATTGGCAAATGTATTCATATTGTTAGTATAATTTTTTGAAAAATTGATATGATTATGAGAATAATGTGGCAAATCTCTAGGCTCGAAGCCCTTTTCGCATCACTATGAGTGATTGTGCTAAACTCATAGTCTATAGAGTTCATCTCATTCGTAGGTCACCTTAGTTTAGAAATAAGAAAATTGTGTTTATTAATTTTTACTATTTTCTTTTGCAATATCTTTACTTACAGGGGATAGGTAGCGAAATAAACTAAATATTTATTAATGTTAATTTCAGTGAATCTGACGAGAGTATAGAATTTATGAAAATATTATACTTATCATTTTCTAAGGTATTTTAATGCGCCCCACATATATTGGCACTGACAAATAAATGGGTATCTACAACGTCATATTTTGTAATTGATTGCATTTTTTAAAGTTTAATAAAAAAATAATTTTTTAAAAGAATTTATGTAAAATAAATGAGATGTGGGGTTATTTATGGCAAAAGTAAGTATATTAATCGTTACTCTATCCCATTTTAAAGACTAAAGTGTGGTTTGACTAACATTTTTACAAGTAGGCAGCATACCTTTGCGATCGGTAAAAATTGGTCCTATCATTCCTTACCGGGGCAGAGGGAAACTGCCTTCTTTGTTGGTTTTTTGATGTACTTTTTTATATTAGGAGATATTTTGTAGGTTTCAGTTCACGAAAAATGCAATGTAAATATTTTAGGACGATAAGTCGGTCATCTGTATTTCTTCTATAAAACATTAGCGAAAACTAGTTCATATAAATAATTCATGAACGATACTTAATTTGCAGTTGCAGTAGATGACTGACGTACTTAAAATAGTAGCTTATATGTCCAAGATATTGAAGCTTAGCTGTTCTATTAAATTGCCCCCATTCTATCGAACTATCTTGTAGAGTTGTAAGATCTACATATATCAATTACTGTCTATGTCTACGTACTTTATAAATAGGGCACACGAGTACACAACAATGATGTGATAGCTATGGGTAAAACTGATCGTTTTATTTTGTGTACTTACTGTTTAAAATATCAAATACCTATACTTACATAAAATAACCTATGTACTTATCTCTAAATAGAGAACAGATTTATTTATTGTTATACACTACCATTAAATTAAATGAAATTTTAAATAAAGACAATTGAAAACAATTCTCGCTGTTTTATTTGGCATTACCAATACTAAGAACTTGAAATTGATGACCTTCATACGAGTCATCCTGAGATTTATACTAAAACTGTTGAAGTAAAATATTCTAATGTTCCATTTACTCTTAAAAATAATGCTTGGGATCGAGGTTGAGGCGTGTTGGCAAGTAAGAACGCAAACAAATTATAATTAAGTTGGCAACATTCATGACCTGTCAATGTAAACTGTATATAAATCGCGTCATGTAAGCATAAAACCCTCTTTTCATCATTTGTGCCGTGTACAGTTTGTAACTATTATATACTCTTTGGTCGTGCTACTGCTAATAATATATATTTGTTATATTCAATCAGTCATTTTTATTTATTTCCACATAAAATATCAACATGGTAGCAGAGCGTGGTTGATTGCTACTAATTGTGGAAATAAAAGAAGAAAGAAGTAACGCAGTTAGCAGTAAAACTAAGAATACCGGCCGGCGTGTTGTCCGCCATTTTGTGGTTATCCGGCGTGGCGTACCGCGTGCTCAGTCACAAACCGTAAAAATCTTAAATACGCATAGAAGATGTCGAATTCAGGTTACAATTCATTAGAATCTTCTCGAAGCGTACGGCATAAATATAAGCAGGAACCTGAAGCTATGCTATGTCAAAGATGATTCAAAGGAAATAACTGGATATTGTGATGCTGACTGGGCGAGTGACCCTGTGGATAGACGATCATGTACGGGTTATATTTTTCTGTTTCAGAATGCTTGTTTATCTTGGAATTCGTGTAAACAGCAAACCGTGGCACTCTCTACGGCGGAGGCCGAATACATGGCGATGTCAGCGGCGTCCCAGGAGGCCCTGTGGCTGCGGCAACTGCAGGACGAGCTCGGGCAAGGCGTGGACAGCGCGCTACTCATCCATTGTGACAATCAAAGTGCAATAAGACTGGCATCAACAGACTGTTATAAATCTAAAACTAAACATATAGATATTCGTTTACATTTTCTTAGAGATAACATTGTTGATTCTAAAGTTAAATTTAAATTTGTAAATAGTTGCAATATGGTAGCTGATAACTTAACTAAAGGTACGACTTTTGAAAAACATTTGTTCTGTATAAGTAAAATGGGTTTGCGTTCTGTGGGGAGTGTTGGCAAGTAAGAACGCAAACAAATTATAATTAAGTTGGCAACATTCATGACCTGTCAATGTAAACTGTATATAAATCGCGTCATGTAAGCATAAAACCCTCTTTTCATCATTTGTGCCGTGTACAGTTTGTAACTATTATATACTCTTTGGTCGTGCTACTGCTAATAATATATATTTGTTATATTCAATCAGTCATTTTTATTTATTTCCACATAAAATATCAACAAGGCGTGTAAATGAAAAATAAAAGAAAAATCTTCAACAATTTATTGTTGTCAATAAACAAAGATCACAGATCTTTGAACATCTCGTTACCATTTAACAAAATATTTTGGCTGTGGAAATAGAAAAAAAAGGAAATTTATTGTTTTTGTAAATCAAACATCTAGTAATTAGTATAAAAGCTACTATCTATACAAACAAATACATTTTTCTCATATTATATGTAATAATTGGCTATAATTTTATAAAATTGGTACATAGTTTTATGCTATCAGCACAAAAGTGACGAAATTTATAAACAAAAGTCTATCGAAATTATGGACTCTATCTACTATAATAAAAATATGTTAATATTAACATGACAATATTCAGCTATGCCAATTGAAAAACTCCCAATAGGATATCATCAATAGCTACAAAAGCCACATAGAAACCAATAAATATTTATTGGTTCACGATATTCTATGTGGTTTTTGTCGCTTTTGATGAGATCCTATGGAGTTGTTAAATAGGGTATGTGCAAAATACTGCGTAATTTACGACGGTTAAGAACAACAAGTTGTGGATTAGGCCATTTTGCGCTGAAGATATTATTTCAAAAGACCCAACAAGTAGTGAGGATGGGACACGTCGCTCGAGCGACACAATAAATACAATAAGCTTCGGCCTAAAATTGAAGGATGATTTATTCGATTAAGGCTCGTTACGAGAACCGTAAACGTCCGCACGCCAATTGAAATTCTATCGTAAAGAATCACCTCATATATATAATACATACTTGTTGCTAACTCAACATTCAGTGAATCATGAACCAACTATGTGTTATATTTTGAATACTCAGTGTATTTGTCGCGGTGTTGATAATAAACTAGCTTTGTGTAATGATATCTATTCGGAATTCGAGGTAGCACTTGTATATTTTTGAATATTTCAAATTTTATTTGTGTTAAAACAAAATTACATCGAAATCCCACACGATCATTATCTAACTGTAAGAGATTTAACTTTTCCAGTCACAATAATATTTATTTTTTATGAGAAAGAAATATATTTAAATGAACATAAAGTACTATTAATTATAAGAGAAAACATGTGTTTAGTGTTAAAAACTTACAATTACACTATACGATATTCATCATAAGAAAGACATACATAAATATATACATACATTGTACATAAATATTTTAGGACGGTTACACACTTAATATGCTTAGTAGTTACATTATAAGTCCTTCTTTCTTACGTTATCACAAAACCGTATAATGTAACTATATCTTCGTAAGTATTGCAATGACATTGGCCTGTTAAATAGAATTCGCGTATCCCAATATTGAACCTTATAGAAAATACAAAGATCTAATTAATTTCGTAGATATTACAAGGAATATATAAAATGACAACATACACATCACTATTAATATATGTAAGTATTATTTATCACAGGTTTAAAATTCATACTAACCTAAATGTATAAGGTTCAATATAGCGAGCGAGAAAAATCTATATTATGATATTTATATTGCTAATGGTTAAGAAAATATAACGAATTCATTATTAGTCCTATTGAATAAGAAGATGAAAAGGATTCATCATTTCTAAATAATTAAAATCGTGAAGGCAGTATCTGTACTAAAATAGAAAAAATGCATCATTCGAGTTTCAATATTATACATATTATATTATATACTTACATACATACATACGTATATGTGCCAAAATATTGTTTAAATGGTACGACTTGACTTAGATTCTCATTGCGTTAAGGCATTTGGATATTCACACGGTATATAATAGTCTATAGGATAAAATTCTATATTGCTAAAACAATCTTAGAACCTAAGGTGTGGCTTATTCTTCATCATGTGCCTGCAACAAACAAAAACGATTAAATTTTTTTTTGATTAGTAAGAAATATTTACAATAAAACATTAACTATGGGATAAGCATCATCGAAAAATCCTTCTAAGAATTATTCTCCTTATATTTATGAGCATATTACACGAAAAGGATGGTTATCCTTGAGTTTTACATTAAACTTGAGTTAACGGATGTTTGTTTATTGTAATATACAGAATACGCTAGTGTTTACCGGTGGCTTTGCCCGCGCAGTTTATTTTTTTCATACAAACTTCTATCTTTTATTAGTAAATATCTAAATCAAGTTTGAAGGATGTATGCTTTTTGATATTTCGTAAATAATTAGTATTAAATAATGTTGTATTAACATAACAAAACTTCAATATAAATTCCAAAATTTAAAGTGCAAAAAAATCGCTTCATTATTTAAATGAAAAGAAAAATGCGTTAACGTAATGAATATTATTTGTTTCTAGCTTCTTGTGATGACGAGTACATAACAATAACATGGACGCGTTGCCCGACCAATCACATGACTAGTTTAATCTTTATGAATACGAAACTGCATTACACGCAATGACGATACAGTACTTCCTCTCTGTACTAGGGCCAAGCTATTTATAATCAATAGAGCATCGCGTACAATGATCGATCGATTGTAAACGAAATGGTACGTTCGTAAATACCATATTATGCGATACTAGCCTTAAGCCTGCAGTTCTGCACTTTCATGCATTACCTAGTTTTACATGGACCAGATAGTGTGGGGGAGCTCAAAATAGGTACAACAGATATTTTTTAACACATTCGGGACCAACTAGCACATTTTCGAAGCGTTGTTGGATGTAGAAAAGAAAATATATCGTATTTTTCTTTTAAATTAATACTCTTTAACGAGTGGCAACATAAAATTTACTACAGGACGCACGCGCTATATTTAGAACCTGAGCAACACAAAGCGTATACATTTTGTAAAGAAAACCCAATGAATCTGTTGTTTTATTCGCGTATTTCTTTTGTATAATTTTATTTTTATATGTAAGAGATATTGCGAAGTAAACGCTCGCGAGCAATATTTATTTTTGACCAACTTCAAAAAGTTTATCAATTCTATTTGTAGTTTCTGATCTATTAGAGTTTTTTTAATAAAGTGCATTAGTGTTCATGTAAGTTTGGACAAAAGCCCCTCAGAACCAGCGCAGCTGATAAACTTATACAAGAAAATAATAACTCCCATATATTATACGTAACTGCCAAATAAAAAAAAACCATACCTTAGATTGGTACTTATCCAATCTAAGGAGATAAAAGTTATTTATTGCCAGCATTCTTCGCCAAAACTTCGCCTGTTTCAGTATAAAGCTGCAAATGTTTATACATCCAACTTCGACTCTTTCCAACATAGGTACCTGTGAATTGCGCATGCTTATTTGCTTGCGTCAAACTTAGCGTCTCATAATATTGCTTGCCAATGTAGGGCGCCTCACTTACGTCTTTCAACGTGAATCGTCTTTAAAATCAAACCGAAATATACGTATCAGGTCAGAAAAGTGGACCATAACGATATAGATTATTAGAATAGCATTAGGTTGCCATAGTAACCGTTGTTATTGTCTGAAAAATCATATAGGTATACGATATTCATCCGTTGCTATCTACAAAGATTACTATTTTTATTAATATGTTTTCAAATATGCAAAATATTTATAACTAGCGGCTTAATATTTAAACTAAAATAGCCGCTCTCGCTCCTTTCTATTTGGTGTAACCCACGACTCACACGTGATAGCGCCGTGATTTTATAGTCTATACCTACTAATATTATAAAGAGGTAAAGTTTGTGAGTTTGTGACGTTGTAGGGGGTAATCTCTGGATCTGCTGAACCGATTTATTTGTTAAGACGTTAGTTTAAGACCTTGGGAAGGACATAGAATACTTTTTATCGGAAATCATCCCTTAAGGGGTTGAAAATGGGGACAAAAGTTTGTATGGAGAATCAAGCTAGGGACGAACCCGAATGAAGCGAGAGTGAGTCGCTAGTGTGTTTATAGAATTTATTCCGACCAAACTATTTAAATAAAAATACGTGTAATTTGGACAAAATTTATATGAAATAATAACTAGAAACTGTATAATATACAAAATCTATATGTCGGCCTCAGCTCGTCCTGTAGCCAGCCGGAAATATAAATCACGGTTGTCATCGGAAAGAGGAGGTTATGGGTTACGCATAGGTACCCCAATGTGCGGGGCAAAGCGAGCGAGGCGGTTCAGAGAGCGTCTGAGAACTGCTAGCAAAGGCACGCTAAGTAAACAACGCTTTATGTTTCTTATTTCTCATATCAGAGACCAATTTTTTAACGAAATTGTTGTCCAACATTAATCGAAAGAAGTTTATATACGCTATCTATTCAGTGTCAGTATAGTATTAAAATAATTAGAACAAAGTCAATTTTGTTTTCATTCCAATCTTTAACACTACAAGCGACTCACGTTAACCAACGCCGGTGTGCCCCGAAACAGTCCCACTCTATTTTTTTTTGCCTGTGGTGACGTCACAAGCACATAGCCATAGCGTATAGCTACTAAAACTAAACATGTGTCCTTCAAAAGACGAATATATTTTTTATGCCATTTAAACAATTTAATTAAAAAGTTACAAGCATTATATTATTATGCAAAGTTTGGTATTCCGTCAAAGAGTACTTTATTTAAGATGTTAAAGCGTAACTTTTTTGTTGGATATTGTAAAAAATACTATTTTTAAGGAGTACTTTTCCCGTGCTGACATACGGATATTTATGTAATAAATGGCAACTCAAAAATACTTATAAAATCCATTGTCTATTTCTATAAAGTGAACGACTTGATTTTATATGAAACTAGCGACTCACCCTCGCTCCGCTCGGGTTCGTCCCTGGGGTGGGGTCTGGGAGGACCATCCTTATCCTTATCACTTAGGGGTATGGAAAATAGATAGTAGCCGATTCTCAGACCTACTGAATACGCATATAAAATTTGGTCAAAATCGGTAAAGCCGTTTCGGAGGAGTACGGTAACTAACATTGTGACATATCAGTTGTCAACAAAATGTCAAAATGGCTAACTCATATAAGATTTATTATCAGGCTTATGTCCGATACTTTAATCCAACGGCGCGATCTCAACAGTACCAGTATATTGAGTACTAGCGAATCACCCTCGCTTCGCTAGGGTTCCTCATTAGGTTGCTTACCCATACAAACTTTTAGCCCATTAAGGAATGATTTCCGGGATAAAAAGTATCCTATATCCTTCCCAGGGTCTCAAACTATCTTCTTACCAAATTTCATCTAAATCGATTGCGTACTTCCAGAGATTACCCCCTACAACGTCACAAACTCACAAACTTTACCTCTATAATATAAAAATACTATAGATAAAAAGTTTTATGAAAATTTAATTCAGATAACTCATTTCATGTAATAAGTAAATCATAATTCAAACAAATGAGTAGCTTGACGACATAGTTTTTATTTATAAAACAACTAAGTTTAGAAAACTAAAGTCAATAGTATCCTGTCAACGACTGCCGAGCCAGAGGTCGCTTGGTCAACAATTAATTTCTTAGAATTCAACCGCGAGGTGGTATGCAAATTAATGCAGTAATGGCTAATAGAACTCACCGAAATTAATATGAAGTACACATACTCCACAAACAAACATAGCACAAAATGTCTATATTACGTTAACATCAAGTTAAGACTCAATAAGAGGAAAAAATGTTTTAAGCAATGCACTTGTAAACAAATAACAATTCGCTAAATCAATTTTTTGGTCCAAATATTAAAATTTGCTCGCGTCGCTTGTTAATTAGTGACGTTTTGTAATTTCTGACCAATCACAAGCAGAATAAGACGTAACAATATTCAAACTAAAAGTATAAATGAAACACAATTTAGTATGAATATGGTAAGCTAAAATACAACATCTTATCGTTGCATTTCTATGAAGAAACGCCTTAAGCAATTTGGAGCCCAAATCCATCCACACTCCAAGTGTGATTATGATTTTTTGTAGGCGTTTTATTATACATATTTTCAGAAATTGACATATTAATAATTGTATTTGTATTAATATTGAATTATCAAATAATAAATATTTATTTAAAAATTTATTTAAAATTTTTAAATAAATATTTATTATTATTTATTAATTAAAAAAAATATTTAAATAATAAATATTAATGATGGATTATTGGATCTGTAAAAGGTAAGACTTCGCCACTGGTACATGTGTACGTGTGTATGTAGTGTACTAACTTGTCGAGCGTCTCCCAGAAGGCGAGCAGCGCGGCGCGGTCGAGGTGGCGCTTGGTGCGGCTGAGGTTGAGCACGGTGACGGCCCAGCGCGCCACGTTCGCGTCCAGCTTCATCTCGTCGAACTTCAGGTGGAAGGCGCAGACTGCACATATCGCATACTTCTTATTGACCGACTTTAAAAATATCTATTAAATTTGCTTATATTTTACTCATTTTCAATTACTAAAAGTATATTATTGAGCAAAGCATCTTAATATACTTTTAGTAATTGAAAAATTAATAAAATTAATTTAATCTGTTCTCAATAGTTTGCAGTTTAAATGTGCGAGATTAATTCTAGTTGATACTTACGTAGGACAAATACAATATTATTTTATTCCCTTAGTAAGCAAATATTATTTTAATAATAGCAAATGTATTTCTCGCTATCTTTATTCAGCAGAAGTGCCTCCAGATCTGATGGTAGCTTCAACATATACTTGCACTACTTATATTTACTTATATATAAATGTTTTAATTGAAGTTTGAAGTTTTTGATTAAAGTATATTTTGATTTATATAATATAAAAACATTGAGCGAAGGACACCATGTAACTGCATTTCGTAACACCATATCATTTCCAATTATTATTACTATTTAATTTAGTTCACAAATTATATATTACTTCAGTGTTTATTTGAAACGACCACTTTACCCAAAGAGATTTTTTAAAACTTTAATATTTTATCTATAAATATATGTATGTACCTTGGAAATTAAGCTTTGTTTTTAAAGTAGAAGAAAAAAACTGTTCACTGTACTTTAACAACAAGTATTGGTTGTTTGAACAAATAAGCACTAAGGTGACAAAATGTCAATACAAACAGCACTTACTATTAGCAAATATTTGAACAGGGTTGCCGTCCCAGGGCCAGCCTTTAAACTGCCACGCCGGACCCTGCACGAACACTGCGACCACGCGGTCCCACTCCGCAGCCGACAACCTTCCAGGGTTATCTACAACGCGATATGGCACCTGTGAAGTATACATACTAGTTGTAGGGGTTGACTTTGGTCATATTCTTCATCATTTTTTTAATGAGTTTTGAACATAGCCATTATATAAATTCGCGAGGTAAAAAAAATACAATTTTAATATACTGGATGGATAGTAGCAGCTAAGCTTTATCTGAAATAAAATTAAACTATTTATATGATTACTAGTGACTCACTTCATACATAGGTATGCTTTAACGTTTAGTATGATAGACAGAATATATATTATATTTCGTCTATAGCCTTCCTCAATAAACGGGCTATCTAATGTAAAAAGAATTGTTCAAATCAGATTAGTAATTCTTGAGATTAGTGCCTTCAAACAAAAAGACTCTGCCTCTTTATAATATTAAGTATAAATTTTCATTAAAAAACTTGAAAACAGGTTAAAAGGCGGGTTTTATTAGTTAGATGGTTTAGAGTAAACATTGTTACTATGTATACCGTTATTGTAGTAGCATTGTTAGGAACTTGATCTCCTGTAGGTCCCTTTCTTCTTTGTAATAATACTTCATTTTCACGTGCAGCTCCTTCTGCTTTCTTTTGCTCCACAGGCACAAATCTGTTAAATATTGGTATATTAATCCATTTTTATTTATTTTATTTGTACTTAAAATTAAAATTTTGTAATATTAGTAACACAAGTATAAAATCCCTACACAACTAAAAAAATTAAATATGTATTACTTTAATAGGTTTTTTAATAGGTTTCTCCAAGTTCTAAGTATCTCTTGATAAAAATATTATTGCTTGGCTAGATCGCTTATCGTCCAGATTATGAAATTCTGGGTTTGAGCCCAGGTCTTATTTTTTATGTTAAGAATTTTATACTAAATCTGCTGATTTTACAGCATATAAAGTCGACGGTCTATAGCCAAATAATAAAACGGCAAAAGCATCTTTATGTTTATCTGTGTACTAAAATTCATCCAAATATAGCAATTTCAGCATCAAAGAGTAACAAACGTAAAGAAATAAACTTTCACATTTAAAATAAAACAAAACAACAACAATACACACTTAAGCTCCTGTAGCATGTCCTTAACATTGTACATGGTGATGAGCGACGTGGCGGCGGCGGGGATGATGATGATGGGCGTGCGCGAGGGCCGCTTGCCGCCGGCCGGCGCGCGCGCCGCCGCCGCCGGCAGCAGCTCGCGCCGCCCCGGCGTCGACGCTGGGCCGTTCTCTGCGAACATACCACATCACTAGCGAATCACTCTCGCTTCGCTCGGGTTCGTCCCTAGGTTGATTCCCCATACAAACTTTCATCCCCATTTTCACCCCCTTATGGGATGATTTCCGGGATAAAATGTGTCCTATGTCCTTCCTAGGGTCTCAAACTATCGTCTTACCAAATTTCACCTAAATCGGTTCAGTAGATCCAGAGATTACCCCCTACAACGTCACAAATTCACAAACTTTACCTCTTTATAATATTAGTATAGAAGTATAGATAATCCCCAACGTTGGCTACGGCTTGATCGTTTATAAGTACAATTGAAGCGATTGTCAATCGCAGTTACGTGATTGAAAGTAATTCGCGTCAATCTATATTTGGTACCATTGTCCATAGCTGCCTGTGTGAACACTAACTGTTCCAATGCCAATGTAAACATATTGAAAACTGCACCTATCGTACGTTAATTGCAATCGACAATACCGTAGCACATTCACAATAGCGATTGATCTTCTCGGGTCCGCTTTACAAAGAGTAAGTAGTAAGTAAGACAGTGTTTCTGTTATAATCAATGGGTATGGATTTTTATATAGTGCATTGATAATTAAATAATATACAATATGAATGTCACTTACACCTGACAATCACAAGAATCCATCAACAATATTTTATTTCGAGAATCGAATAATAATGAAAACATAATAATACTTACGGGGCATTTGTCGTGGGTGATTTGGTGTCTGCGGGGCACGCGCTGGCGCCGGCGCGCTCGGTCCTTCCGTCACCGATTTCAGGGTCATACCGTGATATGTACCCATAGTATCAATTTTAAAACCCTCCGTTTCTGAAATAGAAATAAGGTATCGAAAATGTATAGCCATATAAATAAATATACATATTACAATAATTTTTTTGCATATGAGAATTATACAATTACAAAACTTTTTTTAAACCATTTTTATTATTATTTACATAATAATACATGCCTTCTTTCTGTCTAATAAATCTTTCTTGATCGTATCTGTTATACTGGGTCTGTTGTGCAGGGATTGTAGTCGGTGGCGGCATTACTACTGGTGGAGGCCGAGGCACTCCGGGTCTACCTTCTTCTCTTGCTCTTATACTACCCAATAGGGCTAAAATGCTCTTTGCAAAAGTCTAAAAACAAAATAATATTGTTAAATATAAAAAAACGTGCTTTAATGTAAGCATCCACTTGAAGTTGAGGGTGATTTTCAACCTGTCGAGACCATAAAACATACTTTTCTCGGAAATAGCTACACAATTTAATTTCAATTTTTTTTTATTTATATCAATTACGTTCACTTAGTTTCATAAAAGATTATTCTAGAAATTAAAAATAAAAAACCAAGAAAAAAGTAAAAACTGTCTTTTTTGCAAATATCTCGAAAATTTTGAGGTTATTGTAAAAAGTGTTATTTATAAAAGTTATAGATTTTTACTAGACCTACAACTTTTTTTAAACATAATTTCGAGAGAACATCACTGAAAGCCGGAAATTGAAAAAAAACTATTTTTCAACACTTTGCATCCCCCCATTTCTCGGGAATATTAGGGGAATTCCCCCATTTCTCGGGGGTAGCTGGGCATTGGGGGATTTTACGAATTTCTATTTGTTATAATATACCTGATAACATTTTAAAATCATAAAACTTTAGGTTTTCAATATTTTGTTCCCAAATCGGATTCCGATTGGACTAATATTCATATTAAGCAGTATCACTATAAACTAATAGATTTTTTTTAACTAAGGCAAATGTCAACCCAAATAGCAAACCTTTCCATTGCTTTGTAATACTGTAGTTCTAGTCCTCCATTGCCTCTCCCGACTAATAATATCTTTGGTAAGATCAACATCATAGTCAAGGATGGCTCTAAGATCGGAACCAACAACACCTAAAGTGTCGGAGTAGTCATTACTTTTGATAGTTGTCCTTTTTTTTGCTAAACGCTTAGCTTTAATGGCAGCAATTTTTTCCACTGACATAGCCTCCGACAGTGACCTAAAAGGAAACCAATAAAGAATGCAGTAACTGAAGGCAAAAAATTTATGTAAAAAATTATAACTAAACTAAACTAAATAATAATACAGCAATAAAATAATTTAATAATTTTGTTCCAAATCATTAGCACATTAATAAGAAAATGCTGTGCTCTACATTTACTATTAATTAAGACTGAATGTAATTTAAAAAGTTATAAAAGTTTTAAAAATATATTCAAATATTATAAATTACTTTATATTATCAACTGTGACTGAAGCTTCTTTCGGTGCATCAAGACGAGCTGCCAATTGCTCTCGTACTTTTTGTACATGCGTCTCCTCAATGCGAGGTTTTTTAGCTGCAGATTCACCTCCATCATGATCATGTGTACGTTTGACCTGAATGTACATAATTCAATTAATACCATATTTATAAGGCAGAAATTATATGATTTAGAAACATTAAATTTAAAAAACCTGGGTTGATATTTCTAGTGGAGCACTTTTATCTATAGATGCACAAGTTGCAGTTTCACCATTTAAATAAGCCAGCAGTTCTTTACGATCAGGACGACGAACAGGTGGAATGTTTGCGGCCTGCAAACAATACGAAAGTAACGAAATAATAAATCAAAAATGGTATAAAAACTTATAACCTCATATCCACATAAAACACTACTCACAGCTGCTTGCTTAACATAAACTGGATGAGCTAAGTGTATATTTTTAAGAATAAACAGCAAACATTCCAGTGTGTAATATTCCTTGTCACTTCCTTCTTTTCCAGATCTGTTTTCGAATTAAAAACATTATTTAGTGAAAATTCATTTGGTGTAAATAATTAAGTTTAAAAAGAAACAAAGAGTACTTACTTCCACATAAGATAGTTAGTCTTCACATTTTTAGGCCACGAAAATTCGCCAAATATTATTTGATTATCACGTTCTATAATTTCTTTTTTATTTACGTTATACTGACGAAGTAAACTAAGAGGGTCCGCCATGATTACGTCGTATTAAACGCGCTGCAGAACACTACACAATTATTTCCAATTATTAATAATATTAATATACACTTATTTATTGTACAGGCATAATTTTACACGGAGCAAACACTATTTAAAAATAAATTTGGAAATATTTCACTAATACTCAATCCTGGCACCGTTTCAAACACTCCATGTTCAAATTTAAATGTCAAAGTGTTGTTTTATTCATCTGTGGTGTCGTTACAAAATTCAAAGCTGCTGCAGATAATATACCAAAATATCGTACACGGTATTGTTATTATTATAATTTTAAAATAAAAGAAAACTTCATCTTATGATTTAAAATATTTTAGTTAATTTCATGTCGTCTTCAATTAGATAATTACTTGAATTAATGAGTTTAAGAGAATCATTAAGGGATAATGTGCCCCTTCATTAAGCAGCATTTTAAAACAATAAATCACAGTTTATATAAGAATTTACAATACCTATATATTTTTTTCTGACAAATTATGAGATCCAAGATAAGTTTATTTATTTTTCGGCATTTAAATTATGCTATGGCATAATACATACATTCGACACTCGACAGAATAAAAATAAAATATGGTGTCTAATATGGCTGCCGGTCGATTCTTATTTTATTAGCATTTTTTATTAAAATTTTATAAATAACTTCTTAAAACCCCAATAAAGTGCTAATATGACAGTGAATTGATAAATTGAAACGATGACTTCGACACCAAAGTCAGAAAGATGCACACAAGGTATGTTACGCGATTTTACATTCCATTTCAATCTTCAATATTCATTAGTATTTTAATTTGTTACGGCAAATATTTTATCTAATTAATATTATTTGAATGCCTTTGAATGAACCGTAAACTCTTTTAACTATGTTAAGTCACAAGTATGTTTTTAATTATACTTATAATTAATGCTTATCATAATTTAATGAGTGCGTTGGGTTTCTTTATTGATATTTTAAATTATTTTGGTTTTGTGAAATAAACAGGTATAAATAAAAACAAAGCGAAAATCTTTATTTAAAATAAATTTCAAAACAATACCTAGTAGGATTTTATTTTAATAATATTTACTAATTGGTCTTATGTATTTCATTTGTATGGTATAATTGTTTATTGTTTGTGTAATTTATAAAGATAAGTTTGGTGTAATTGATTTGAATAGTATTACAATGAAAACTATGCATATCAATTTATGAAAAAAAAAGAGTTTTGATTTTATGATTGAGAATTATATAATGCCTAAAGATATAAACAATACTTATCAAGATCTAAATCTTGTTTGTATACATTTATTTTGATTCTATTATGAAAACGACAAAAGTAATTAATGTTTAAATTTTGACTCTTGAAACTACATGATTGTTGTGAATGGCATTGCAATAAAGATCACAGGTTTGATTTTCATATATTTTGATGTTTTTATTAACTATGTAGGATGTATGTCCCAAGTCAAATTTTATTTTATTTTTTTAATTTTATATTAATATAGAAATTAACTAAATTCAAAGTATATTTATAAAACTTATAGTTATTTTAAATAAAACTATCTTTTTAGATTTTTTTGCAGATTTATTTGGATTTTTGTTTCTCAACTTTTCGAATGCTTTACAGCAATCATGGTCATGGGAGATTTTTATTTTTCATTTGTAAAAGTATATAGCAATAGTGTTGCGTAGTAATTTGTCTTTTTTTAAATAATAGCCAACTAAATTAAAATTATTATTCTTAATTACTTTTAACTTTTTAAATTACACATAGAACAATAATTATGTGGCTTAAATCATTAATATTATATTTTATATTTTTTCTTTATGGTTATAAATATAATAATGGCAGCACTAAATACAGATTACCAATTAATATTTTTAAAATTGTAATAATTATAATAATAACAGCAAAAATTAAATAAATAATATTCAATGTTCAATTATAAAACTAATTAAAATAATAAAAATGTTAAACATTTTACAAAAAAACAGTAAAAAAATATTGCAAGGTGTTTGGTGCAATTTTCATTTTGTTATTTGTGGGTAGGCCGTCTGTAACAACTATACCTTCGAGACATCTAACTCCTCAGTCTCTCCTGTAGTATTGTTGTCAATACTTTCTTTTTCCATAAATAAAACAAAGTGTTTATCTATATAGATACAAAACTTGTTTATTTGAAGATTTCGAGATACGAAATAACAAACAATAACGCAAACACATTTTTCATTTAAAAATACACCAAGTTAATTATTATTAATTACTTCAAATATAGTCAATACTTTGCTACATTCAATACTAGCGACTCACCCTTGCTTCGCTCGGGTTCATCTCTAGGTTGATTCCCCATACAAACCTTCATCCCCATTTTCACTCTATTAAAGTGATGATTTTCGGAATTTAAAATATCCTACGTCCTACAGTCTCAAATTATCTTCTTACCAAATTTCATCTCAATCGGTCCAATAGCTTTTGAGTTTATTGATAACAAAATACAAACATACAAAAATACAAATCTTTCCTCTTTATTTTTTATTTGAACAGCTTACACATGTGACTCAGCCTGAATGTGAATTTCTTTCTAGTTTTATCACTAATCACTAAATATGACACGCTTTTTATATAAGAATTTATAAAAGTAAAACAGGGAGTTTAGCTTCTGTTATTCTATTAGATTATCATGAATATATTATAATATACTCTAGCGGCTCACCCTCGCTTCGCTCGGGTTCGTCCCTAGGTATATACGTTTGAAAGTGATATAAATAGTTATTATTTATTAGGCGCCGTCCTATTGCCATCGCTCGCGCGATGATACGTGTGTCCGACGAAAATGATCGTGCAACCGTGTGTTCAAACATACTGGTATTTAATTAAGGTCCTATTCCGATCATTCTTTTCGAAATAACATTTTTTAAATAATATTTCGTCATTTTGAGTGTGATCGCATCACTCCAAAACAACAAGACACACGATTTCGTATCGCGCGAGCGATGACAATAGGACGGCGCCTTAGCCAGCGTTAGCCATGTAAATTTCGTTTTTTTTTTCATTAATTTTTCCAATGGTTTAATAGTTAGTTATTCTGCTATTCGGTGCGGAGACAAATCCAACAAATCAAAGAATACAAAAATCGATTCAGCCGTTTTCAAGTTATATGCTGTAACAAACCCGACTTTGTTTTATTTATATAGATTAATATATACAATATGTACACTAAAACTAACTTTAAACTGGCCCAAATAATTTCATGATCAAACTGACAACAAAACGAAAAGTGGGTTTAATTGTGTCTGAAATAGTTATACTAACTATAAAATATTAAATGACTTTGGTACTGTTACTATTTTATCACTTAAGTGTATAAATCAGTAGAAAGATATAATAGAGAAATATATATTAGGCAGCCTGTCTTTGCTGATTTTTTTAAATTTGGTTTTCGAAATTTGTTGCTTTTTCACGCGAGAACGGCTGAACTGAAATTTGGCACAGAGAATAGATTAAGAGTCTGGAATACCACATAGACTACTTTTTATCCCAAAAAAATTGTTGTTCCTGTGGGATACATTTATTTTTGTATTTGCTCGTATATATATGTAGATAAGGCGTAAAGTTGTAAATACATGTAATAAGGAACACGATACCTATATCTTTTCTTAATAAATATATATCTTTACTTCATGTATAATATATAAAAATAATGAAAACGATTTTTCCTTTGTCACACCTAAAAACGCCTTTGATATTGGTATGGGACTATAAATATACTTATATTTAGTGTAATTTACATAATTTAATAGATACAGTTTACGTTATGTCGAAATTGAATATTTATATGCATAGGAAGAATAAAATCTATAATATTTATTCTCATTATCTATCTATACTTATTATAAAAATAAGTCCCCCGGCCGCGTCTTTCTGTCCTCCTGTCTGTCCTCCTGTCTGTCTGTACGCGATAAACTCGAAAACTACTGAACGGATTTTTATACGGTTTTCAACAATAGAAAGAGTAATTCTTGAGGAAGGTTTAGGTATATAATTTATTATGCTTTTATGTAAATTAGCTGAAATACGGCGACAAATGTTGAAGAGGTCGCAAAAAATCTCGCCAAATGGGAACTTTCCACGCGAACGCCGCGTAAACTAGCAAAGATACAGTTAAGTAATGTACTAGAGAATTCAAAATCTATAAAAATGCTACAAAAAAGTCCGCGATAGCATATCTCTATCTCTTACGGTTGACTTACAATAACCACTTTTATGTTAACATTTTTAATTAAAAACATTACGTTATTTTCAAAGTTTTATTTTCTTTAGTTCGGTATTAATCCTTATCCAAATGAATATTTTAGTTAGCTTAGTCATTTAATGCAGATTAAAATTGCTCTTTACACTAAATCAATCAGATGAATAGTTTTTGAGATATCGTTGTTAGAAGTAATTAGTAGCGAAACATTTTTAATGCTTGGCGAGCATTGAGATGCCTACGGCGAGTCCATCCCCTCTGCCCCGCATCGCTCGACCGCCTGCTCAGCTATATAAACCGGGCGATGTAGCGCGCGATCCTAGGATACTTTTTACCGCGGGAAAATATCTTATTTCTGAGGAAAAATACAAAACTGCAATGTAAGAGTATACTAATATGTAACACCTAAGAATTTAGTTTTTGGTCATCTGAACGCGGGCGGAGCCGCGGGCAATGCTAGTACTTATTATAAAAAATAAGTCCCCCCGGCCGCGTCTTTCTGTCCTCCTGTCTGTCCTCCTGTCTGTCTGTACGCGATAAACTCGAAAACTACTGAACGGATTTTTATACGGTTTTCAACAATAGAAAAGAGTAATTCTTGAGGAAGGTTTAGGTATATAATTTATTATGCTTTTATGTAAATTAGCTGAAATACGGCGACAAATGTTGAAGAGGTCGCAAAAAAAATCTCGCCAAATGGGAACTTTCCACGCGAACGCCGCGTAAACTAGCAAAGATACAGTTAAGTAATG